AACACGTCTTTCGTGTGCAGCTTAAAGATCGCGTGCAGCGCATCAACGAAAACCTGCAGCAGTGGGCTCTAGAAGTGGAAGCTGATGAAGCTGAGAAGCTGGTGCGAAAAGCATACCGGTCTGTACCTGCGCTCATTGAAGGGAACCTGGTGTAGACATTCATCGACGGCATCCGTGACCTGGAAGTCAGAGCTGCTGTGAGGCTCGGGCACCACGAAACGCTTAAGGACGCCTTGGCCCTTGCACTGGATATGGAAGCCGTGCGGCAGGATCATCGTTCCCATCGGGTCAGGAAGGTTGCAGCAGCTACAGCTCGCGACCGCAATAAAGGATACAGCCCTAGGTGCTGTGGCTGTGGGGAAAGGGGCCATCTTCGATCCAGCTGCCCTAAGCGAACTGTAGAAGGAGAAGGTGATCGATCTCGAGAGGTTAGTGCGGCTAACAGCACCGCCCAGCAGCAACAGGGAAACTGGCGGCTGCTGGCTGAGGTTAAAAGAGCCCCAAGGATCTCGATCTCACAAACCCATGATGGGAACAGCCTAATCATCAAGGGCGAGATCAATGGAATGCCATGTAAACTGACCATAGACACTGGAGCCTCTCGTACGGTTGTTAGTTCCCAACTTATAAGTCAGTTCCTTTGGGACTCCGCATACAACCGAGAACGCATTAATTTGGTAACAGCCACCGGTCAGCGTATACCCGTCCGTGGAGAGAAGGAGATGGAGTTGAAGCTAGGCAACGTCTACGTCAACCTGCATAATGTCATCGTGGCTGATATAATGGACGACTGCATCCTGGGCCTAGACTTTATGAGGAATAATTGTTGTGAGGTCGACGTTAAGCAAGGTGTTTCGAAATTTGGACAGGGTCTGTGGCAATTTAAAGTAATGCCGTTTGGGTTGTCCAATGCTCCAGCAACGTTTGAAATGCTGATGGAACTTGTACTTACAGGGCTAATTGGCGATGCCTGATTAGTCTACTTGGATGACATCATCGTCGTAGGCCGTACGTTTGAGGAACACCTTCAAAACCTGGAACGCGTGCTCACCAAGATTCAGAGTGCCTACCTCAAGCTGAGTCCGAAGAAATGTTCACTATTCAAACGGCAAGTCAACTTTTTAGGGTATGTAGTATCGGAAGAAGGTATCTGCACGGATCCAGAGAAAATCGCCGCTGTCAAGGATTAGCCGGTTCCAAAAGACAAGACGCAGGTTAGTGCATTTTTGGGTTTGTGCTCCTATTACCGGCGATTTGTGAAGAACTTTGCAGATATAGCCAAACCTCTGCATAAGCTAACCGAGGAGAAGCGACATTTCTGCTGGGATGAAAGTTGTAATATCGCATTCCAGGAGCTCAAGGACCGTCTGTGCAAAACACCTATTTTGGGATACCCTGATGCAAGCAAAGAATTTATAGTTGACACAGACGCAAGTGATATAGGACTTGGCGGTGTGTTGTCTCAACGGAATGGTGACCAAGAGGTCGTGATAGCGTACTTCAGCAAGTCGTTGTCAAAACCGGAAAGGAACTATTGTGTCACAAGACGCGAATTGCTAGCTGTGGTAAAGTGGTTGCAGCATTTTAGCAAATATCTTCTGGGACGAAAATTTCACTTACGAACTGACCATGCTGCACTAAAATGACTATTGCAGTTTAAAAATCCAGAAGGACAAGTTGCGAGGTGGATTGAACTACTGCAGGAATACGACTTTGAGATTGAACATCGCAGCGGAAAATCTCACGGCAACGCAGATGCATTGTCAAGAAGACCTTGTCCTGAAGATTGCAACCATTGTACTAGGCAAGAGATTAAGGAAGAGGTATCCGTGAGGATGCTCAGGACGGACCACCTCAGCAACGAATGGAAGGACAGCTTACAACATGCACAGCAGGAAGATCCGGACATCAAGCCGATTCTGGAATGGATAAAGGCCAGTGCTCCCAAGCCTAAGTGGAGCGACGTCTCAGCAATGAGTTCGACCACTAAAAGCTATTGGGCCCAGTGGGACAGCTTGCTGCTTCAGGATGGAGTTCTGTGCCGTAAATGGGAAAATTTTAGGGGAGACAGCTGTCACTTGCAAATGGTTGTCCCTAAAGCTAAAGTACCGGATGTTCTACAGCTGTACTATAATGATTGTTCCGGAGGCCTTCTGGGAGTTAAACGAACTCTACTGAAGATCCAAGAACGGTTTTATTGGGTCCACTGTCGAAACGATGTCGAGGACTGGTGTCGCAAATGTACAAGTTGTGCGGCTGTAAAGGGACCTCAGACTCGTAGTAGAGGTGCATTGAAGTTGTACAATGTTGGTGCACCATGGGAGAGAATAGCCATTGACGTGGCGGGGCTATTTCCGAAAAGTGAAAGCGGTAACAAGTATTTCATGGTTGTGATGGATTACTTCACTAAGTGGCCAGAAGTCTTCGCCATTCCAAATCAAGAAGCTTCAACAGTTAACTGTGCTGTCGTTTTGGAGTACCTTTAGAGATTCACAGCGATCGAGGAAGGAATTTTTAGTCTCAAATATTTCAGGAAACTTGCCGAGTTATGGGTACTCATAAAACAAGAACGACTTCTTATCACCCGCAATCTGATGGAATGGTAGAACGATTTAATCGGACATTGGAGAGGTACGTAGCAAAAGTTGTAGACAATCGGCAACGAAATTGGGACAAGCACATACAACCGTTTTTGTTATATCGAAGCGCTGTTCACGAAAGTACAGCAGTGACACCAGCTTTATCCGCTCGGGCCCACTGAAAACCACCGCTGTTGCTCCGACGACAGCATAAGCTAAGTGAGGTCCGTTTGTATGACGCGCCACAACATACTCGTACAATATGAGAAACGATTTTTTGTCTTTCTAGTTTTTTTTTAAATTATAGTCTATAAGTATACATACTTTTAAATTGTTTTATCCGTCAAATTGTTGTTTTATTTCCTATTTTTGTTTTTGTTTGTTATAATGTTTATAATTGATGTGTCCACAAATGTTAAAATTTAAGTGCCTTCTGATGTTTGTGGCGTGCTGCAATAAATCTTTCTTTCTTTCTTTTAGAATTACGGCTGCCTGCAGACCTGATCACCGGGATACCACCTGATGCCCCACGCATTAACTAATAACTGATTATGCGGAACAAAATGAATGACATTTATGAGCACGTCAGACAATGGGGCCAGCAAATGTCTGAAAAGATAAAAACCCGGTATGACCGCAAAATGAACAACAAAGGGTTCGACGAAGGTTCACTAGTGTGGTTGCACAATCCAGTCCGCAGCAAAGGGAAATCTCCTAAGCTTCAAGCTAAATGGGACGGCCTGTACCGGATTGTAAGCACGATCAACGATGTAACCTACCGGATACAGAAAGAAGCAAGAGGGTCTCCTAAGATCGTCCATGTGGATCGCCTAGCGCGTTATTATGGGGCCGATAATGCTCGGGACGAGCATGTCTTAGGAGGGGGCAGTGTTGCACGCCTAAGTTAACGTCAGGTACCTAGAACTAGCGCCATCTAGTGTCGGCTACCAGAGCGAGGAGGGCTTCCTAGAAAATGTCAATCTTGACTTTCAACCAACAGCGCCATCTAGTATCGAACAGAAGAATTAAGCTTTCTAGAAGCCCCACACTCGAGCTTTCTGCGCCTGGTCGGTTGGCGCGCGTATTTACTTGAATATTCTGGATGTTTCGGTGAAAAAGATGTATTTAAAGGCGCTGCAAGACGCGATTGGGCAGTATTGAATTTGGCGAGACGAGCGAAGCTTCGGAGCGAAATAAAGTGAATAAGTGTGATTATTATTGTATTTTAAGTAAAGTGAATTAAAGTGTTAATTTGGATTTCATTGCAACGAACCCTAAGCTCGTAACATTATTACTAATTTTAATTACTAATCTAAATTTTAACAATGAACCGAATTAAAGGTAAACTAGCTCTTGACCGCGACTTTTGTTAGCGGTAGTTAGCGGTAAAATTTATTTGACTTTACTTAAAATATACAGAAAAAAGACAAAGAATATTGCAACATTCCAGTAAAAGAAAGTTGGATTTTCCGGGATCGTCTAATCCAAAAAAATCGAAAAGTTGCGACCCAGATGAGCACTACGGCGTCTTGGAATTAGAAGAATATATCCTTGACTGCCTTTTTGAGAAAAAGAAAGAAGAGATTTTGGCTTTTGCAAAAAAAAAAACGAGGACGAAATAAAAGGATTAGAATTGGCTAGTAGAGACCAAAAAGACAATGATTTGTGTTTGTCTACACTAATAGAGTTACTGTATACTCATTTCAAAGGAAATACGGCAACTGAATATGGAAACCAACACGAATCGGAGAATACGAGAATTTTCCACAACTAACAATTTAAAAGTTTCAGTGTGTCGACTGTTTATGGATTAAGATGACTCTCTAATTGAAGTCAAATGTCCTATTTCTGCTTCTAATAGGCCATAACTGAAAAAAAGATCAAATGGCCAGGCACACTGTGTTTACCAGTGTGTCTGGACCTGCTAATAGTAATCATGATTTCTTTTTAACATCATCTGTCCTTCCTGTATCAAACAAAATTTGATATTACGAAAAAACAAAATTTCTCGAACAAATACTCGAATAGTTCGGACCATAAACAATAATTAAAAAGCTGAAGGTACTCCGGGTCAACATTGCCATCGGGACGTTAGTCACCTCAGTCGCCCGTGACCATGGGTGCTGGAAAGCACCTGAAACGTCGGGAATTAAAAATTGTTTAAAATTAAACGCGATAAAATTCGTAAAAGTAGTTTTAATCAATTATTCCAGGTGTTCATGGGCTGAAGTAGCCACCTTTGTAAAAAAAAACCGTGTCAGGAACTCACCGGGGCGTGAAGGCTGTAATTAAAGGCACAGAGGCATTTCATCATAGTCTTAAAGGTGACAAGGCATCTGTAGCCTTCTCTAAAGATGGTTGCAGGTATCCATGGGCTGCAAGAGCCAGTCCTGTAATAATAAAACGATTCCAGGGACTCACCGGGGAGGTGCAGCTCCAGCAAACGCTGAACGATGGTGCCCTGACCGGGGTACGCGCTTCAATGCTAGCAGGGCGCGTCAGGATCGGTCGATTCAGCCGGAATGGCGAAGGAAGAGATGAGATGTGGTTTTCAATTCGGCCGCATATTGCTCTGAAGAAAGAAGTTTACTATCAGCCTATAAGTATCGTAAAGAAATTTGAATAACACACACAAGAACGCACACACTCCGTTACCGTTACAGTCGATTAAGGTCCACTGCTGAACATAGGCCTCCCCCATTGATTGCCTTATAGAGGAGATATTTGCCATAGTTGCTATGCTTGGCAAGCGGGTTGGCAACCGCAGTTTTTATTTTTAGTCCTTATTAGGAAGACGCTGCTGCCCATCTTCTAAATTGTTTCCGACACCCACGAGATGATATGCGATAGTGGATATTATCGAAACGTCACTACACGGTCCCCGTGAATACACTCATATACACAATACTTTTATATACTTGGTGGTATCATTTTTTTCATACATCACTGAGATATATTCCTAGATTATTGATCGCTAACTTTAAACTCAGCGATAGCAGCCTAAGAAAATTTGTCGCCACGATCTCATTTCGGGGGTGATGCAGTGAAATTTATCCCCTCACCTAATTCCTACCAGGCAATAAAACAGGCGCGTCAGCAGCGCGCCCTGCAGCCCCACAAGGCACCAGCGCACCGCCTTGTCCGAGCACAACATCGTCAGTAGTAGGTACATGAAGAGGTGGTGCGGGTGCAGCCACGAGCCCAGCACCAGCAGGTGCAGATAGACGGGGCGCAGTAGGTGAGCGAGCAACACGCTCTGCAGCCCCACCACGCACTAGTGAGCCGCCTTGTCTGAGTATGACATCGTCAGTAGTAGGTACCTGTAGAAGTGGTGCAGGTGCAGCCACGAGCCCATCATCAGCACTTGCAGGAAGACGGAGCACAGCAGGCGTGTCAGCAGCGCGCCCTGCAGCCCCACCAGGCACCAGCGCGCCGCCTTGTCCGAGCACAACATCGTCAGTAGTAGGTACATGTAGAGGTGGTGCGGGTGCAGCCACGAGCCCAGCACCAGCAGGTGCAGATAGACGGGGTGCAGTAGGTGCGCGAGCAACACGCTCTACAGCCCCACCACGCACTAGTGAGCCGCCTTGTCTGAGTATGACATCGTCAGTAGTAGGTACCTGTAGAGGTTGTGCGGGTGCCGACACGAACCCACAACCAGCGCATGCATGTAGACAGGGCGCAGCAGGCGCGCCAGCAACGCGCCCTGCAGCCCCACCACGCACCAGCGCGCTATCTTGTCCGAGCACGACATCGTCAGCAGCCGCTCGCTCTGCCACAACACAAAGCTTTACCCACATCCAGCTCAGGGGACCGCACCCGCACGGAATACGACCATTAAATAACGGTACAATATACTTTGGACGGTGAATCACGATAACCGGAAGCCCCTTTTAATGGTCACGAGTCATTCCATATTAATATTCAAAGCGTTTTTACATTGGCCTATATCGTTAACAATTTACGATCACCGACAACATTATATTATCCAGAAGCTTTTTCATTCAACGCTACGGCATCGACATCGTGGTGATATTGAATAAACTATTGACTTTACGGTATTCAAAATGGCGGTGATGCAATAGTTTATAAGATTTCATTTAAGTGTTAATACTTTCACAGTCCGATTTTCAGATATAATAGTAAGAGAATAGCAAAAGCTGTATGTAGTCACGGGACAGCGAAAGGGTAAAAACAGGCAAAGGTATTCGACCATACTGGCTAGTCTGATATGTATATTTTCACAAATTTCTTTACAATATGCTAATGCGTCATATTGCCAACTTTCTTCTTTGGGGAATTTTAAAGACAACCTAACCTAACGGACAGTAGACTATTGTAATTAATACCATATCCAAATTACTAGAGACGAAGAGTATATAATCACTACGTTTAAGACAAAGGAATTCCTTAGTAAAAGTAAATGTATAAAAGGACGCCAAACTACACTACCAACATCAAGACATGACACTTAATTTTTAACAAACAGTGTCTAGAATATATCTGAATTATAATAGCGTTGTAGATGTTAATATTCGAATAATTTTATCGATATATTGAGTACCGATAAATTTATATAATAAAAGTTAAATATCTATACTCGTTGATGTATGAGAAATAAATAAAACATTATAAAAGTTTTTACGACGGAATTGAGTAAAAATGCTGATCGGGATAAGAAATCAATGTATTTAACACACAGCAAATTGTTATTATATATCTGCAATCATTTGGTTTAAAATATGTATTAAAAAAGTTCTTTCAACAATGGTTTTATTAATTTGCTATTAAGTGTACAAATCGCTTCTTCACAGAAGCAAACTTAGTGCTCATTTTAGCTAATATTTGTAAATTATTACACGTTTCATATTAATCATTTCACAATAACTTTACTCACAAGATTTAAATTAACCTTTTACGTAAATCCAAAGAATTATGAAGTTATCTATATTTCATTACAACGTGTATAGTTTTTGACACTAATTTAAATTCGAGTCTTTCAAACAAATCAAAATATTAAAGAAAATAACCAATATCAACTTTTTCACTTGACGTCGTTTCAATGATATGTCACTATGTACTTTACCGTAGTGTTTGAATGATTAAAATTCATTGTTATGCGAATAATCGGCAAAAATATTCAAATAATCGGTAAAAATATTAAAATAATCGAATCATTAATTTTTTAAATTAAATTTTTAATTTTTTTTTTATAGAAGAAGGGGCAAACGAGCATGCGGCTCACCTGATGTTAAGTGACTACCGCCGCCCATGATCAACCGCAACACCAGGAGAATTGCGGGTGCGTTGCCGGCCCTTTAGAAAGGAGTAAGCTCTTTTCTTGAAGGTCCCCAGGTCGTATCGGTCCGGAAAAATCGCCGGTGGTAAACTATTCCACAGAGAGGTTGTACGTGGAAGAAAACTCCTTGTGAAACGTACAGTGGTGGACCGCCAAGCATCCAGGTGGTGTGGATGGTATCGGGACGTTTGACGTGTAGTGCGTTCACGAAATTTGGCGGCTGGGATTAATCCGAACGATTCCTCAGAATACTCCCCGTGATAGATGCGATAAAATACGCAAAGAGATGCAACATCTCTTCGCAGCGCCAGTGAATCGAGCCGATCGGAAAGCACTCGGTCGTCGACGATTCGAGCCGCTCTGCGCTGGATGCGGTCAAGTGGAAGAAGCTGGTACTGGGGAGCCCCAGCCCAGAGATGGGAACAGTATTCCATGTGCGGCCGAACCTGCGCCTTGTAAAGTTGCAGGCGGTGTGCCGGCATGAAATACTGTCCCGCTCTGCTGAGCACGCCAAGTTTTTTAGAGGCCAATTTGGCCTACCCTTCCAAGTGACCACGAAACTGCACGTCACTCGATATGTCGACGCCGAGGATTCCGATACTGGCTGAGGCAACAAGGGGAGTGCCTTGAAACTGAGGGGATACGACAAAGGGGTTCTTTTTAGCGGTTAACGCGCAAACTTGTGTCTTCTGGGGGTTAAACTGGACTAGATTTAGTCGCCCCCAATCCGAGACTCTGTCCAGCAGAGACTCGACTTCAGACACAAGTTTGTCCCGGCACTCGGAGACGTTTTCCCGAGAAATATTGGCTCGGCCGGTGTAAAGAGCATCACCAGTGCTGTCATCTGCATAGCAATGAATGTTACGGGTATGCAACATGTCATTGATATGCAGAAGAAACAGCGTTGGCGATAGCACGCAGCCCTGTGGAACACCAGCATTAATAGGCTTGCAATAGGAGCTTCCACCGTCTACAACGACCTTGATGCTCCGATCTGCAAGAAAGCTGGTGATCCAATCGCACAATTTCTCGGGAAGCCCATAGGAAGGGAGCTTCGAAAGAAGCGCTTTGTGCCAAACCCGATCGAAGGCCTTCGCAATGTCGAAACTAACGGCCAATGCCTCCCCCTTGAACTCTACTGCCTCCGCCCATCTGTGAGTTAGGTAGACCAGAAGATCACCAGCTGACCGACCACGGCGAAAACCGTATTGGCGGTCACTAATCAGCTGGTGATCTTCAAGGTACCTCATGAGCTGGCAGTTTACAATGGACTCCATTGTTTTGGAGAACAAGGAGGTGATGGCGATTGGGCCGTAGTTGGACGGGTCAGTGCGGTCACCTTTTTTAGGGATCGGGTGGACGTAAGCCGTCTTCCATGATTTTGGGACTACGCCTAGGGAGTAGGAGTACCGGAAAAGACGCGTTAAAACCGGTGCCAACTCTGGAGCACACGTCCTCAGCACAATTGGGGGGATTCCGTCAGGCCCACTCGACTTGTGGATGTCCAGGGAGAGGAGTGCTTTGCGAACCGAGCGCTGTGTGAAGTGCACTTCCGGCATGGAGCACTCACACCGTGGGATGGTCGGCGGGGTACTCCCCCCGTCATCGAGAGTCGAGTTAGACGCAAAGAAAGAGCCTAGAAGATCGGCTTTCTCCTTTTAAATTTCTTAAATTGCATGAATCACGAAAGAAACCAGTTTATTTTTTTTACTTTGTCAACGTAAATTTGTGTAGGCAAAAAACTCATACAAGGTCACGTTTAAAAAACGACTACTTAATTCCAATCTCCCGCCATTTTGGGAGCTTCCTGTGCTTTGTGATTTTGTGTTTGTCTTCTTATTTTGTTACTCGGATTTAACTTTTTGGACTGTTTCTTCTATATTCGTTGCAGCGTGTGCTCATGTCACAACGGATGATTGGACAAAAGTAGTAGAAAAAAACAAAAAAAATTGATTATGGATGACTTTGAAAAAGATATTAATTTTTAATGCAATATTGAAAATCAAATAATAATTAATCTAAACGACGACATCTCAACTAGTTGAATAAATTTATTTTTACTCTAGTTTCAATCTTAAATTTTTATAACTTTGCCTCTAGAAATAAGCAGTAACAACATATACCAAGAAATTGATAAATCTTGTGTTTTAAATTATTCGTTTTTTAATATATTTTGGTATTATTAAAACCAAACTGTAAATGATTACCAACTCTAAATAATTGATATCGATTTTTTCAAGAATCGAATATTGTACGTTCCCATTTTTTGGTTGGCATGCTTGGTGCAATAAGTATAACGGCCGTCAAATCTAATTATTATTAAGTAAATCTAAATTTAAGACACGTACCGTATGGTTTATTAATTAATAATACTATTTTTAGGCACAACACAACACTTGGTAAAATGTGTTGTGTTGCGTTTAGTCAACCAAATCTAAGAAATACCTTTTGACGTTTCACATAAATCATTCCGCAATAACTTTGTACAAGCGTACTCACACGATTTAAAATAACCTTTTACGTAAATCCGAAGAATTACGAAGTTATATATCCTATACCTTTAAACGAGCAATTCGTGTATATATATATATATATATTCGGAATCTCGGAAACGGCTCCAACGATTTTCATAAAATTTTGTGTGCAGGGAGTTTCGGGGGCAATAAATCGATCTAGCTAGGATTTATTTTTAGAAAATGACTTTTTGTCCGTGTTTTTAGGCAATGAAAAACTGCTACAATATCGTTAGAATAAGAAGGTAAATTTTGACAGTTTATTAATGATTACAAATAGCTTAATTGGTATATGGAGCGTTCTCAAAATCGTAATACCACGGTTCGAGCCCAGACCGACCGACCGACGTTTTTAATTTTTTTTTTAAGTTCCTTTCTTTTTTTGAGAAAATCTATTTTTTCGAGCCCTTTTTTTAGTATTTTTTAAAAACACGAAAATTTAAATTAAACTAATTGCACTCATGATTTTTTATTCAAATAACAAGTTCAGTTTTTTCAATTATGTCGCTACGATCAAAAAATATTATTCGTATTTCATCAGTATGTAATTTGTATCTAAATATAATTTCCAAAACACACGAATTAAAAAAAATCCGAGCGAAAAATACCGAGCAAAGCTCGGTCAACCGGGTACTATTTCATTACAACGTGTATAGTTTTCATCACTAATCTAAATTTGAATTTTTCATACAAAGCAAAATATTAAAAAATAACCAGTATTAACTTTTTTTACTTAACGTCGTTTCAATGATATGTCGCTATGTATATTACCGTAGTGTTTGGATGATTAAAATTCGTTGTTATGCGAATAGTCGACAAAATATTCAAATAATCGGTAAAAATATTCTAACAATCGAATGTGTAATTTCCTTAATGTAGTATTTGTTTAATTTAATTTTTATTTTCAAAATTCCTTAAATTACATGAATCATGAATAAAAAAGTTTATTTTTTTCACTTT